AAACCCATGATCAAGTTAAAAAGGAATGTCTGTTTGGCTAACATTATGTAGGGAGAGTTCCAATCTCTGTGCACATAAAGCAATCCTTAGGGGTAAATTTTCAATATATTGTCTATTTGTTAACAGTCTGTTTATTTTCATACCACTAAACAAAGATCTTACCAATTTCAAATAATGTTTTGGAAATAACTAAGTAATTGTTATATTGTATATAATGTCACAAGTTTAACAAAATGTTGGAAATGATTTACTAATTATTATTTTGTACAGTGGATTCATTTATTATACCAATTTTTGTGGATTGAGGAAAAATTGTATTGTTCATGGTTATGCCAAATTCTGCTTACAAGGTTATAGAAATATTGCACTTCGTTCAACATTTAAATTCCTGGTTTACTCACAAAATTCACAAAAATTGGTATCCCATGAACAATTTAGAATCCACAATATATATTACAGATTTGAAAAAATGTTGGAAACGAAAATAATTTTTATTTGGAGATTCAATATCTGGATGAAGTTTTTTAAAGTTAAAAAGGAATAATATCTGTATCAGATATCTTTCTTCTGTGATTTCTTGTAGGAGAATTACTGTAATCTAATTTGGTAAATGGACGTCATTAATTCTTGCTTGCTACAAATAAGATTTAAAGGAAGGAATTGCAGTTAGTTACGGATAAATTGTAATCATCATGGATTTAAAGTTATCGTAGCTATTCTTGGCAGTCTTAATCGTCATAAGACCTTATTGTAATGACACATTTGTTGCCTCAACGAACACTGTTCATTTAAAAGCTTTTCGTAGCAGAAGATGCTATAAGCGTGATATAATAGCGGTATTTGATGGTATTGTTATTGAACACGTCGGTTAATCTTAGAGCTGATAGTTCTGTTTGTTTGACTGGAGAAATGTTAAACATTAATGAGTTTGCATCAATCTTAAGCTTTGAATTCTACCAAAATTGATGAATTTGTAATCATGTTTTTTAGTTGTAGCATATTATATTAGGTTTGATTTGTGTCTATTGGAATTTTGATAATTGTTTGCTTTATTTGTTGCACTTGAATATAAGAGGAACCAGGGAGGGATGCAGTATCATTTGTTAGATAACAGATCTAGAGGCTCTAGGGAGGGATGCAGTAATATTTGTTAAATATCAGAGGCTTCAGGGAGGAAATTGCAGTTTCATTTGTTAAAAAAACCCAGAGGATTCAAGGAGGGATGTAGTGATAGTTGTAAACTGCATAAAGCTAAAAATTACTTATTTTTAGATGATAATGAAGGCCTCGCATCAAGGATGTGGGAGCCCTATAGTTTTCACTTTGTCCGTCTGTCAGTCCTTCCTTCCATCCAATCCATACGTCCGTCCATCTATCTTTCCATCCACAATTTCTGTAAAAGCAATAACTCCAAAAGTATTGGTAGGAGGCCAGTCAAATTTTGCACATTTGTTGTGCATATTATATTTTGGTGAAATTCGGCACAACGGACATTATTTTTGAAAACAATTTTGTTTTTGTTAAAAAAATCATAAATTTTGAGAAAAGTCTTTTGTTAACGCAAAAACTCAAAATGTATAGGTAAGGAGACCAATGAAATTTTGCACAGTTAATGTGCATTATATGTAGATGTGCATATTAAACTTTTGGTGATATTCCAGTCATCAATTTTGGAAAAAACTTTGCTTTTGTTAAAAAAATCACAAATTTTGAGAAATGTCTTGGTTCGTACATACAGACAAATAAACCAATTTGTTAAAAAAATGATAATTTTAGAATTTCAAGAGAACTGAGTATACACTGTACTTCCCAAGTGTAACCCCCAAGAGAAGGAATTCTTCGGACCTGCTGAGGTACAAGAAAATAAATATGGAAATAAATTAATATTGATTAATAGTTGAACATATTTTATTAAAATTTTGTTATCTGCAGCAATATTAAATAGTTCAGGAATGGTCATTTTCTATGTTTACAGAATAACTAAGATTTTTATCAGATTGATATAAGAACTTGTTTTGCAATACCAGTTTGTTTGATCCTTTTCCCTCCTATTGACATTAAAACAGAAACTTTTTTTATATTCTAATATTTTTAAAGCCAAAGGTATTCAATGTGTTCTTGAAGTTTTGAGATAAGATACTAATGATATGGTAACTGGAATTTCAGACAACCTGTTAGCATCAGTCTTGTGTTACCATGAGGATATCATTTTATAATGTTGTAATAAAAAGCTTTAGTTGACAATTAAGTGACTTTAATACTGTTGTATCTCTTAACAAGTTTACATGTTTTTAAAAACAGTGACATATCTTAAAGCTGAAAAAATAAACCAATTTGATATTTGGCCAATGAATAAGTCTGTCTGTCAACTTTAATTAAAGACATCTTTGCAATTACTAGGAAGTTTGAATCAATGATGGCCTTAATTATAAAATAAAGGAATAATATAGTAGATCCAAGCATTTATTTTACAATTTTTTTTACCCCACCAAGTTGTGAATTTAGTGACCACAGGCTGAAACACTGCTTTATGCAATGGCCACAAATCTGTTTATTACTTCAATGTAGAAAAAAAGGAACATTTCAGGGTTGTTTATAGATCAGCAATTTGATATTCATCCAAAAAATACCAGATGCAATAATTAAACAACAACATTATAATTGTAACCCATAATTGGTTTCAGTTCTCTAACTTTAGTTTGCCTCAACCCAATGTTATAAAACTTGTACACAATGCTTATTACCACAAAACACAGATCAAGATTGAAATTGGGTGGTGTCACTTTACCGTTCATGAGTTATGTTCCTTTATGAACATAAAAATTGCTGAGTTTTTCTTTCTGTTCTCTAACTTTAGTTTGCCTCAACCAAATGTTATGAAACTTATACACTATGCTTATTACCACAAAACACAGATCAAGTTTGAAATTGGGAGGCGTCACTTTTACCATTCTTGAGTAATGCCCCTTTGTAAATGGAAAAATTGCTAAATCTGTTGTTTTCGTTCTCTAATTTTAGTTTGCCTCAACCATATGTTATGAAACTTATACACAATGCTTATAATCACAAAATGGTCTTAACTACATGAATCCTGTATCTGTATGTGAAAGTTGACTCATGCATATTTACAAGCAAGGGCATCTGTGGCCCATAGACACATTCTCCATGTATTTTGTGATTAAGAGATAATGTCTAAAGCAAACTTTTGAAAATATATATTTTTTTCATTTTTTACTATTTTACTGATAAATGGACTCACTTTATAAGTCAACATTACACTTTTACACTGACAGCAGTAACCACAGACGAGACACCCCTTAGAATTTTTAATCAGAATATTAAGCCAAAAAAAAAAAAAAAAAAACGATTTAAAGAACAATTCCTAAACGTATTAGCTGTTTAGATACTATAATAGCTGGGTAGGAAATTCAAAATGTACCACCCAAAGGGCCAAGTGAGTCTTTCTTATCAATTGTCACCTGTCATTGTCTTCTATTAACTATCCATTAATGTCAAAACTCTCAAACGACTTCTTATGGGAGTTATTTCCCTTAAATGATGAATTTTACCGATTTTTAGTCCCCTACCGACGAAGTTGAAGGGGACTTTAGGTTTGCCCTCGTCCGTCTCTCTGTCTGTCTGTCTGTCTGTCCATCCTTTAGTCCGGCAAATCAGTTTTCCACACTTTTTTCTTCATGCTTGAAGATATTGATTTGATATTTTGTGTATTGTTTAATCATGACAAGTTATAGATCAAGTTCGAATTTTGTTCTGGTCTGATGATTTTGTGCAGAGTTATAGTCCTTGAACTTGAAAATTCACTCAAATAATCAGTTTTCCACACTTTTTTTTGTCATGCTTGAAGATATTGATTTGATAATTGGTATATAGTTTAATCATAACAAGTGACAGATCCAGTTCAAATTTTGTTCTGGTCTGATGATTTTGTGCAGAGTTATGGTCCTTGGACTTAGAAAATTCACTCAAATAATCAATATTCCACATTTCTTTTGTCATGCTTGAAGATATTGACTTGATATTTTAAAAATGACAAGTTATAGATCAAGTTTTATAGATTTTGTTCCAGTACAATGAATTTTTAACCGGTAGGGGACTATGTATTGCCAGGCAATACTCACAGAATGCTTGTTTTTCTATTTTTGCCTATTTTCTTGAAAACTGTGATAGATAGAGAATAAACTTTTAAAAGCAAAAATTATCAGCAAGACAAGATCTACAAATAGGTCAACATGGTTGATATTGTCATAAGACCTCTTAATGCCCTCTAATGACGATTTTTGTCTAATATTTTAAAACTATCATAGATCAATAGAATCTTTAAAAAGCCAAAATGATCAGCAACACAAGATCTACTACTAAGCCTAATCTCCGAAATTGTCTGTCAACTCCTTATTGGAGTGATTGTTCTTTGATAAGGATTTTTACTAACTTTTTGTGTTTTAATTGCTTATGTATGTTGAAAACTTTAAAAGATAGATAAATACTTTAGATAACATAATGATCAGCAATTCAAACTTTGTCAAATTGGTAATAGACTCTTTATAGGATTGATTGCCCTTAAACGATTATATTTTAACTCTTTTTTGTGTTTTTGGCAAAAACTAAATTGGATAAAGAGAAACTGTAAAGTGAAAATATGATCAGCAATTAATACAAGATCAACAAAATAGAGATTTTTGTCATGAATTTTTTTCTAGTCCACAATGTTGGAGAGTGTCCATTGTTAAAGATGCACATAGACCTAGGTGAGCAACTAAGGCTCTTTAGAGCCTCTATTTTGTGATGCAATGAGCAGGTAAAAAGTGAAAGAAATGTATTTCATTTTAGTTCTAATGCTTTTGATGGGGTAATGATCCTTGGACTAAGAAAGTAAGATTTACTCGTAGATGCTACTATATCCTATCGATAGATTTAATTTATATACAGTTTTCAGTACCATAGATATACCTGTAATGTAAGATATTTATTTATTTTTACAGTTTATTGGTACTTTAGATATACCCAGACCTAGCAGTAGGGTGGAAATAGTTGCTGCCATGAGAAGAATAAGAGTAAGATTAATCACATATATCATATTATGTTATAGGGTTATGTAAATGATTGCACTAAATGTTGGTAAATACAGTGTAATCTACTGCAAATTACTTTAAATTGGAATGAAAATTGACATGACTGCTTGCCAACATGAGGCATTCTTTTTTATTGAAGTTGACTTTTTGTGCATATTGGTCCCCTCTAATCATAGTTATGGCCCTATGTACTTTACAAACTTGCCAGGATATAGTGCATCTCTAGTAATATATTGAGAAGTTTTCCTTAATTCCTGAATTGACTAATGGTTCAATCTACAGTTTTCTACATGATACTAGGTGGTGATTGTCAGGATAAAAATTGAGATGGAGGGAAATCCCTGGTTTATTTACCTTTACATATTTTAAAGTGAAAAGGTATCACATTTTTCGTATTGGATATTTAAGTGAAGTTAAGTAGCTTTCAGTTCAAGCATGTTTTATAATCAAAATGATTTAAAAATTAGAATAAATAATCTTGGTTTAAGTGAGACAACTCTTGAAACTGACCTTCTTTGGTAGGGAAATTGAAAAAGCTGTGATAACAAATTTCTCCAAAATGTTTCTAAGAGACATAATTGATGGTTCAGTTGTAAATTCAATGCTTAAATCCACTACTAAAAATTATCAGCCGAAAGCAAAACATGGTAATGAACTGGAGTTAACCTATGATTCTATCTCCAAGAATGGAGTTTACAGACAACTTATTATTCTATCTCCAAGAATGAAGTTTACAAACAACCTATGATTCTATCTCCAAGAATGGAATTTACAGACAACCTATAATTCTATCTCCAAGAATGAAGTTTACAGACAACCTATGATTCTATCTCCAAGAATGGAGTTTACAGATAACCTATGATTCTATCTCCAAGAATGGAGTTTACAGACAACCTATGATTCTATCTCAAAGAATGGAGTTTACAGACAACCTATGATTCTATCTCCAAGAATGGAGTTTACAGACAACCTATGATTCTATCTCCAAGAATGGAGTTTACAGACAACCTATGATTCTATCTCCAAGAATGGTGTTTACAGACAACTTATGATTCTATCTCCAAGAATGGAGTTTACAGACAACTTATGATTCTATCTCCAAGAATGGAGTTTACAGACAACATATTATTCTATCTCCAAGAATGAAGTTTACAGACAACCTATTATTCTATCTCCAAACATGGAGTTAGTACAGACAACCTATGATTTTATCTCCAAGAATGGAGTTTACAGAAAACCTATGATTCTATCTCCAAGAATGAAGTTTACAGACAACCTATTATTCTATCTCCAAGAATGGAGTTTACAGACAACCTTGATTCTATCTCCAAGAATGGATTTATACAGACAAGTGAAATGGCTTGATAAGCAAACATTCTGCATGCAGTTTCAAAACAATGCAATAAACTATTTAGATAAACTTTCAGAAACTTTAATAGAATGTTTTGAGGAGATATACGTGTGTGTTTTGCAGTTAATTATTCATTATACTGTGTTGGTACCATTAATTGATAAGACAAGAATGAAAGATGATAATGACCAAATTAAGATCATACTGATCTAGTTTTAATTGAAAATCTTTCAATATGTCTGTAGCCAAAATGTGAAGGACTTGTCTATACTGATTTATTTCCTGATTTTGGTACATCTTTCCAAACAATGATTTAACTTCACTAGTTACTTCTGTTGCATGTGAAAGGGGGATTTTATTCACTTAACGTATTGAAGCACAAGAACATGGTGTAACTTAAAGCATGAAACTGTTAACATGTTGATTTGTATTTGGAAGAGGGTCCTACGTTCATTGTTTCTTGATTTATATTTTGTTTTGTCTAATCAAATGTTTATGGTTGGTACTTTGTTGTCTCTTTATATATGGTTTATCTATCATTGTCATCAGTCTGATGTATTGGCTTGGTTTATCTTAGTACATCATAGTTGTCAATGAGAAAAGTTTACTAAAAACAAAAGAACTAGAATATAATTGAGTCACCTTACAGTCTTCAACTAAGGTAAACCACTAAGAAGAAGAACAACAACATACAGAAAAACATTGTTATTGACAAGAGTCAGATACTCGATAAAGATGGTTATAAGGCAGATCAATAATAAATTTTTAAAGCTAGCAAAAAAAGTAGTTAACATTAAGGGTACACAATGAGACCCTTCATTTTGTTATAAGACCCCCAAAATTCAGGTAAAGGACATCATTTTCTGTGGTATGAGTCCCTGTTTTGTGAAGGAATGGTAACTAAACAGAATGGAACAAATATGGAATTTTGTGCTGATTAGTTCATTTGTATCATAGTTATATTGGGAAGGAAAAAAAAGATAAGTTTTTTGTGATAAAAAAACAACTTGAATGTCTTTTGTTTTGTTATGTCATTGGATTGCTGTCTCATCGACTTATTACGTACATTTAAAATTTGTTTGTTTATATTTGCAGTATGAATACAAGTCTAAAGGTATAAAGAAGAAGAAAGTATGTCTGACTATTTCTGTTGAGGGAATTAAAGTATTATTGTGCAAGAAAAGACCAGTAAGTATTTAAAAAAAAACATCTTCCATTACTTGTTTAATATAAAAAAAAAAGGAGATGTGGTATGATTGCCAATGAGACAACTATCCACCAAAGTTCAAATGAAGTGGAGGTTAGCAATTATAGGCAACTGTACGGCCTTCAACAATGAGAAAAACCCATACCTTATAGTCGGCTATAACTAAGCCAACCTCCCAAATTCCTGTCCCCAAACTTATGGTCTGTCCATGAATTTTTCCATATTTTTTTTTATTTCCAGTTACAAGAGAAATTGTTTGACATCACAGATCAGTAGTGATTGACTCTGAAAATTTTGTTAATTGCAAACACTAACTGTAATGTATAAAAGATACTCCCAGAAACCAAATATTTTCCTGTAAAAAAAATTCCTTATATATATATATATCATATTTTGATGTTTTGACAAGTTAACAATATATCAGTTGTATAGTGTGTGAGGAGCTCAGCGATAAGAGTGAGGCTATATTGTAATCACATTGTTCTGCCTGCCTGTTCATCCAAAAAATATTTTCATCTCACTTCTCAGGAACTACTGTACAGAATTACTTGAATTTTGTCAGCAGTGATGACATGTAACCTGTTAGTTCTTCTTCCATTTGTCAGACACCTACTTCCTGTTTGTCGATACTTTAAATTTTCAATATGTTGAGAGAGGAAAAGAGAAAAAAAAATATTTTTGTCACATTTTTCTTAGGAACACATAATTACTAAAAAAAAAAATTTGGTCAAAAGTTTGAAGGTATATTTGGTCAGGAGCTTGAAGTTATATTTGGTCAGAAGCTTGAAGGTGGGTAGTTTTAATTTGTGAGAGCTTTCCAGATCTGAGACACTTACTTCCTATTTTTCAATACTTTTGAATTATGAGTAAGGGTATGCTCAGCACTTCTTATTGAATATTTGTTTAATTATGAGTAGGGGTATGCTCAGCACTTCTTATTGAATATTTGTTTAATTATGAGTAGGGGTATACTCAGCACTTCTTATTGAATATTTGTTTAATTATGAGTAGGGGTATACTCAGCACTTCTTATTGAATATTTGTTTAATTATGAGTAGGGGTATACTCAGCACTTCTTATTGAATATTTGTTTAATTATGAGTAGGGGTATGCTCAGCACTTCTTATTGAATATTTGTTTAATTATGAGTAGGGGTATGCTCAGCACTTCTTATTGAATATTTGTTTAATTATGAGTAGGGGTATACTCAGCACTTCTTATTGAATATTTGTTTAATTATGAGTAGGGGTATACTCAGCACTTCTTATTGAATATTTGTTTAATTATGAGTAGGGGTATGCTCAGCACTTCTTATTGAATATTTGTTTAATTATGAGTAGGGGTATACTCAGCACTTCTTATTGAATATTTGTTTAATTATGAGTAGGGGTATGCTCAGCACTTCTTGTTGAATATTTGTTTAATTATGAGTAGGGGTATGCTCAGCACTTCTTATTGAATATTTGTTTTTAACCTCTTAGAGACCATGACTAAGGGCCATAAGAAAATGTTGGCATTAGATTATCAAATATAAGATAGGAAATGATGTAAAGATACTTATTTTTTTGATATCACAAAACTGATTTCCCTTATAACTCTGTTTGGTAATTATTCAGATGCAACTTATATCCGTTGTGTAAAGTAAACATCATGCAATTTTTTCTTGGATGCTGAGATTATTCTAGGGTCAGATGAGGATCCAGGATTTTGAAAAGGGGGTGGGGCTGGCTGGCTGGCTGGCTGGCTGGTAAGCCACCATTTGGAGCAATCCTTGTAAAAAGTTTATGCATCTATCATATATGAAGCTCAATTAGGGATGGCCGCCCCTCCTAAATCCACCTGTGAGGGTGGATGTAAACGAAATTTATCCCCTCAACTCTATAAAGAGTAGGATAATGTCCTTGACTGTAGATTCTCTGACCTGAAACTAAAGGATTTTATTCCATGTCAGATACATGAAATGAAAACATTTGACTGGCATAAATTGTTATGCATTATTTATTTGTTTTCAATAAAAGCTACAGATTATTGTATTTTTTTCCATAATAGAACATTAAGTAATCAATCTATATATAGAGTTTGTATTTAATATAATTTGAGAGAAACCATGGCAGAATGTACAAATACTTTAGACTATGCAAGTCATTGATATTTATCCAACAAGAAGCAGATTATACAGGAGTTATTTTAATCCCTTAGGAGAAGATTGAAATGAATTATTCAGTGTCAATAAATGAATAAGTTGCAGTAAATTGACTCCATGCATGTCCCATGAGGTCTGCTTTATAACAGTTCAATGTGAGGACTTTTTATTGACTATAGGTCTTATAACATTATTTAGAGTTAGAAGTATTTTGTAACAGAAATAGAAAATTTGGATTATGTAATCCAATTGTTTGTCAGACCAGAAGTGCGTGAAGTTAGACATCAAAGGCTAAATATGAATGATTCTCTTTAGAATTAGTATCTGTCTGATGATTCTTTCTACTAAGCTTTTATGGTTTCAAGAGAAATTAACTTAGGATGAAATGACACAATGAAAAATTGAATAAAGTACATAAACGTAAAGATAAGATGTTGTGGTATGATTACCCATGAGACATCTATGCACCAAAGACTAAAGGACAAGGATGTGAACAACCATAGGTCATGGTACAACCTTCAACAATGAGCATATATAGTAAGCTTAAAAAAAATATTTATAGCTGTATGAATTATGAAAAAACCTGGTGCAGATGAAATAAGATATAGATTATCTAGTTCTTCTTTCAATTAATTTTAGCTCACCCTTGGAAATATGACTTTTTCAGGGTGAACAAATTTGAAACATACCTTCTTGATTTTATAATTGCATGGCATAAGTAGTATATATCAATCACTAAGAATTACTTATTCTTTTTCTGTTATGATTATAAGCTATAACATTATTTTGACATTAATTTTGCTGTGTGAAAAGAGTTGAAATGCTATATAAACCGTGTTGTTATATCACAAAGGTAGACACAATGTTCATGCACAGGGGAATATGATGTTTTGTTCAATGTCACATGGGATAGTCTCAATGAATCAAATATTTATTTAGCTATCAATATTTACATACTGTGGAACAATCTATGAAATCACATTTTCGTTCTTTCTCTGATAGTACATTGATAATCAAAAACATGGCTGCCAGAGACAATTCCTCTTTTAAATCCAAGTAAGGTGAAAAAACACTCCCATCACTCTCCCACTATAGATAAAAGTAATATCATTAATTTTTAAAGGCAACAATTTATTTTTTGATAAATCATGTAAAGGGCACAACTAATTGCTGTTTTTCAAAAGAATATTTAATAGGGTTTTTAAGACTGGGAAAACATAGTTTATTTATTAGTAAAAATTGGTTATGAACTAGCTTTCAATTACTGCAAGTTTCTTAGATTGGTACTTTGTTTTTAGCTCACCTGACCCGAAGGGTCAAGTGAGCTTTTCTCATCACTTGGCGTCCGTCGTCATCGTCGTCGTTAGCTTTTTACAAAAATCTTCTCCTCTGAAACCACTGGGCCAAATTTAACCAAACTTGGCCACAATCATCATTAGGGTATCTAGTTTAAAAAATGTGTCCGATGACTCCGCTAACCAACCAAGATGGCTGCCATGGCTAAAAATAGAACATAGGGGTAAAATGTAGATTTTGGCTTATATCTCTGAGACCAAAGCATTTAGAGTAAATCTGACATAGGGTAAAACTAATTATCAGGTCAAGATCTACCTGAAATTTTCAGACAAATCTGACAACCTGTTGTTGGGTTGCTGCCCCTGAATTGGTAATTTTAAGGAAATTTTGCAGTTTTTGGTTATTATCTTGAATATTATTATAGATAGAGATAAACTGTAAACAGCAATAATGTTCAGCAAAGTAAGATCTACAAATAAATTGTCATGACCAAAATTGTCAGTCGACCCCTTTAGGAGTTATTGCCCTTAATAGTCAATTTTTAACAATTTTTCGTAAATTTTTGTAATCTTTTACAAAAATCTTTATCTCTGAAACTACTGAGACAAATTTAACCATACTTGGCCATAATCATTATTAGGGTATCTAGTTTAAAATATTTGTCCGATGACCCCGCCTTCCAACCATCATGGCCAACTTAGTTAAAAATAGAACATAGGGGTAAAATGCAGTTTTCGGTTTATATCTCTGAAACTAAAGCATTTAGAGCAAATCTTACAGGTGGCAAAAATGTTCATCAGATTTAAATTTATCTGCCCTGAAATTTTCAGACAAATCCGACGACCTGTTGTTGGGTTGCTGCCCCTGAGTTAGTAATTTTACAAAAATTTTGCAGTTTTTTGTTATTATCTTAGATATCATTATAATATCTAATATCTAATACTATTAATTATGATTTTAACCTTATTTTACATGATTTCCAAAGCATCAGTAAATACAGGTGAGCGACACAGGCTCTTGAGAGCCTCTAATTTTGTTTGTTTTTGTTTTTGTTTTTTTCATAAAGTTTTGTAAGTGCTTTGTTCCATTCTGATGGTTTAAGTTCTTGGTTGGTTCTTATGTTGTGCTGTTACACCACTGTCCCAATGTAAAAAGGCCAGTTGACCTCATTTTCATGGTTCAGTGACTACTTGAAAAAAAAAGTTAAGATTTTTTGTAATGTTAATTTCTCTCTTATTATGAGTACATTGTAATAGGATAACTATATTTGGTATGTGCATACCTTGCAGTCCTCATGCCTGTCAGACAGTTTTCACTTGACCTCAACCTCATTTCATGGATCAATGAACAAGGTTCAGTTTTCGTGGTCAAGTCCATATCTCAGATACTATAAGCAATAGGTCTACTATATTTAGTGTATGGAATGATTGTAAGGTGTACATGTCCAACTGGCAGGTGTCATCTGACCTTGACCTCATTTTCATGGTTCAGTGGTTTAAGTTAAGTTTTTGTGTTTTGGTCTATTCTTCTAATACTGTATGC